TTTTTTTTTTTTTTTAACAAAAGGCTGTAGACATGGAAGGGCAGTTCCCAAGGTCCTGGTGGGATTCACATGAAGTCAGAAATCATGTTAGAAACAACCTGGGCTCAACGGTAGGAGACTCGTTAAATCAATCATGGTACATTCATTCAGTGAAATCCGATGCAACAATTACAGGGAGTAAGGTGGTTCTTCACAGACTAACATGGGGTGATCTGCAAAATACTAACACATTAAAATATGTCAATATTGCCTATACATATATAAGAAAGATGCAGGATATGTGAGCCTCACCAAGCAAAGAATGTGTGTGTGCGCATGTGTGCGCGCCTGTGTGTGTGTGTGCATGCGTGTATTTACATGCATGTTTGCGAGCGAAGGCTCCCTTTAGAAAAATAAACAAAACCTGGCAACACTGGGCGCCTCCAGGGGCGAGAACTGGGGTGGGGATGGGGGGTGCAGGCAGGGATGAGAGGCAGATTTTAAAAAGATATGCAGTGAAAGAGTAACAACTGAAGATACACAAATCCAAACAGACAAAAGGTGGATTGGTGGTTGCCAGGGGCAGGCGAGGGGAATGGGGAGTGACTGCTGATGGGTGTGAGTTCCTTTTTGGGGGTGATGAAAATGTTCTGGAATTACAGTGGTGACAGTTGCACAACTCTGTGAATATATTCACTGAACTGAATACTTCAAAAGAATGACTGCTGGCCGGGCATGGTGGCTCACACCTGTAATCCCAGCACTTTGGGAGGCTCAGGCAGGAAGATGGCTTGAGGCCAGGAGTTTGAGACCAGCCTGAGCAACATAGCCAGACCCTGTCTCTATTAAATAAAAAAATAAATAAGCCAGGTGTGCAGCCGGGCATGGTGGCCCACGCCTGTAATCCCGGCACTTTGGGAGGCCGAGGCAGGCGGATCATGATGTCAAGAGCTTGAGACCATCCTGGCCAACAAGGTGAAACCCCGTCTCCACTAAAAATACAAAAATGAGCTGGGCGTGGAGGTGGCGCCTGTAGTCCTATCTACTTGGGAGGCTGAGGCAGGAGAATTGCTTGAACTCAAGAGGGGGAGGTTGCAGTGAGCCAAGATCATGCCACTGCACTCCAGTCTGGCAACAGAGTGAGACTCTGTCTCAAAAAATAAATGAATAAATAAATGAAAATAATACATAAATTAGCCAGGTGTGCATGCCTGCAGTCCCAGCTACTCAGGAGGCAGCGATAGAAGCATTGCTTGAGCCCAGTGGGTCGAGGCTGCAGTGAGTTATGATCCTGCCATTGCACTCCAGACTGGGCACAGAGACCCTGTCTCTTAAAAAAAAAAAAAAAGTGACTTCTGTGATATGTAAATTGTCTTAATTAAAAAACTGTTTTGAATTTGAATTTTGTAACGTGTTTTACCTATTCAAAAGGATGAAATTTTCGAGAGTTCTAAAGTAACAAATAAAGCTCTCCCTCCACCAGGCAGGTTCCCAGCCCCAACCTGCAGAGACTTAGCGACCTGGTGTGGGGCCCAGGAATCTGCATCTTCTCCAGGTGCTCAGCCAGGCTGAGAACCATCGCCCCGGAGGGAAAGGGGGTGGGGGAGTGGCACGTGGCATATCCTGGTTCACAGATGAAGAGGGAATTTGCATTTCTCGGTACCGTCTGCACAGCCGGCACAGTGCTCAGTATTCTCCGTGGTGATATATTGCTTTTGCTCTGTTGCAGAAACCGCGAGTTGGATGTTACTGCTCCATTACACAAAAGAGGGGACTAAGGCCCAGCAAGGTGGGGTCACCTGCCCAACATCACAGGTTAATCGGGGCTGGTCTGTCTGCCTCCAAATCCAACGGTCCCTTGAAGCCTATAGCTGCCAGGTCCTTCCTGATGGCCCAGAGCTTACATTTTCCCCTTGATCATATTCCATTTGGCACTTCCCTGATATCTGTTTCATGCTATTCTATAATTATCTTCCCCCAACGAGATTAGAAATTCCTTGAGAGCAGGGACCACATCTTCTCAAATGCAACTGGGGTTTCTACACCTAATGGTGGGCAAGGCACAGACATGGGCTGGAGCCAGGAGCTGCCTTCGAGGGGCCTCCCCTGCTCTTCCCTGGGAGATGCGGAGAGAGACTAAGGCTCAGTCCCTTTGGGGAAAGCAGCTCTGGTGGTTCCGGGAGCCCAGGCTAGAACCAGAAGGGACAACAAAGGCCCACGTTCAGGGATGAGCATGTGATCACGGGGTGAAGAATGGAGCCACAGCCCTGCTCAGAGACCCAAGACTTGCAGGGCAGGTAACTGAAGATGGGCGGAGAAACTTAGCCCCTGTCTTTTTGGAGGAAGCTGGACCCCCACATACTTCCCCCACCCCAAATCTACCAATCATGACCTCATGTCGCTCCCAGGAGTGGCTACAGCCATGTGGGTTAGTCTGTGCCATCTTCCCGGGTAGAAGGACTGAGTTTGAGTAAATAGGGAAGGCAGTCCAGGCAGCGGGGAACAGCCCGGGCAAAGGCCTATGGGGGAGACTGTTCTTGATTTGGGATGGAAATGAGAGGGGTCTCTGGAGGTAACTGGCCTGGGAGCCACTAAGTTGGAGAGCCCTGTCTGCTCGGGGCAGTTGCCAGCCATCACAGGACAGCGCCTCGCGCTCCCTCTAGTGGTGGAAGTCGGGATGGCGCCACCCCGCCTGGAGCCCTCTAGGAGACCCCGCATCCCTGCACCAGGCTTTCCTAACCCCGGGGGGCCGGTGGGGGGGCCCTGTCACCACCAGCTCCACTCACCAGAAGCTTCTCCAAGCGCAGAGAGAACATGCGCTTTGGAGTCAGACAGACCTGGGCTCCATTCACAGCTCTGAGGTGAGCTGTGTGACTCTAGGCAAGTGGCTTCACCTCTCTGAGCCTGTGTCCTCCCTTGTACAGAGGAGAGTTAAAAACATCAACTCCACAGGCTGCGTAGGAAACATAACAGAGATGCCGCATGTGAGGCATCAGCCCAGGGCCTGGCAGATGGTCAGAGGCTCAGGAACAGAACCACAAAGGTGGGGAGAACATGCCTATCTGTGGGCGCCACCACACCTGCCCCAAAACACAGTGCCAAGCCCTGGGGAGGGCACTCAGCCCAGAAGACACAACTTGCAGGTCAGGCGCAGTGGTTCACACTTTAACTCCAGCACTTTGGGAGGCCCAGGCAGGTGGATCATCTGAGGTCAAGAGTTCGAGACCAGCCTGGCCAACACGGTAAAACCCCATTCTACTAAAAATACAAAAAATTGGCCCATGCGGTGGTGCGCACCTGTAATCACAGCTACTTGGGAGGCTAAGGCTGAAGAATCTCTTGAACCCACGAGGCAGAGGATGCAGTGAGTCATGATCACGTCACTGCACTCCAGCCTGGGCAACAGAGTGAGACTCTGTATCAAAAAAAAAAAAAGAAGAAGAAGAAGAAGAAAAAGAAGAAGAAGAGGAAGGAAGAAGAAGAAGAGACACGAGACACCTTGCAGGATGTTCCCCACCCCCACTGCTCTGAGGGCCAGACTCTGGGCTGGAGTAGGAGGGGTGGGGACTGGTCCAGCAGCCTCCCCCAGTCTAAGCTGGGTCCTTCTAATCCCAGGGGCTCTTGGTCCCAGAGCCCCAGCACGGTGGGTAGCAGCGAACAACCTCCCTCCGCATAGTGGGAGGGGCACGAATGGGTGGCCCACCCCAGGGGACCAGCCCTCCATACTCACGTCGTCAACCTTGGGCTCCGTCACAGGGACCCATTTGTAGATTCGTAGGGATGTGTCACCAACGGTCACCCATTTCTTCTCCCTGAGGAGGACGAGGAAGAGCCTGTTACTGCGGACTCTTCATCCCTGGGGGACACAGGCCACACTCCCTTGGGGCTGAGAGCAAGCTCCAGATCACACAGATGAGGGTTTGAATCCCAGCTCCACCCTCACTAGCAGGAGCCCCTGGGCAGGCCACATCACCCATCTAAGCCTGGTTTCTCCACCCCGTTACACCACACAGGGTGGCTGCCCTCTCCAGGCTGTCACCAAAAAGGCTGAGGGCGGGGCTGCCATTACAAGGACTCCTATGGGTGGCGGGAGTCAGGCCCAGGTCCCCCTGTGTCACTGCCAATGCCACTCAGCCAGTGAACTGGGCCACCCGCGCCCTTCTGGGCAGCCGAGAGGCCTTCAGGCCAGCAGGCCGATTCCTCCTGTCGGGGGTGGAGTCGTCACCAAGGACACCCCGGGGCTCCTCCTGCCCTCTGGGCAATGCGTCTGAGGTTGGGGAGGCAGAAGCAGGCAAGCCGGGGCGCCGCCCACACTGCCGGAAGCACGCCCTTCGAGGCGGCCAAGGAGAGCCAGGGAGTGGTGACCTCAGCCCGAAAGGAGGTTACACGGCCTGAATCTGTGGGTGGCAGCCGGGTGGGAGGGGACCTGCACCCCTGATTCGGGGCTCCTAGTGACCCTGTCTGCAAGGTCGCCCCAGCTGCATTACAAACGCCTGAAGGACCAAGTCCAGACCCCCCACTATGAGAGGCAGGTTTGTGGATAAGGAGAAACTTACAAGCCACAGAAGCAAACAGGACCAGTTTTCACTGGAGATAACAATGACCACCCACTCCTCCACCCCACCACTCTGCTCCGAGCCCCTGTCATTGTTCCGATTATTGCTACAGCCAGCCACCTCCTGTCCTTGACTCCCTGCACTCCACTTGTCCCTTACAGCCCGAAAGGCCCAGCAGCCACACCCCTGAGGGGACTGAGGCTCCGGAGAGCCCCCAGAAGCAGGGCTGGGTTGGAACCGAGGCTTCTAAATCAAGGCTCTGCCAGATAGGAGATGTGTGAGGCCACCAAGGAGCCACTGATGGCTCAGCTAGGAGGCTGGCAGATTTAAGGGCCCCAGCAGGGGCTGTTGGGGCAGGCACACCCCTGGTACAGGCGACATAGCTGCCCAAGTCCTCAGCAATTTTAGTGACAAAAGTTCCCAGAACCAAGAATGCTCTGGGGCACAAGCACCTCTGTCCGTGAGCTGTTGGCACCTTTCCCGGACTCTCTGCCCAAACTCAGCCTCAGGTCACCCCCTTGTGGGGCACACGGCCCTCACATGCTGGTGTGACAGGTTACAGGACTCCCACCCTGTCACCACGAGGGTTGCGGGATGACAGAGCATACTCAAAGCCAGCCAGCCGAAACCACAGACACCTCACCCCCAAAAACCCTGCCTGCTCGGGTCCCATGTGTTCCCTCAGAGGACACCACGGCCCGGCTTTTCTTATTATACCAACGGCCATTCCTAGTGCCTTCTATGTATCAAGTACTGTGTCGGCTCGTCTGGCAGGAAATGGCAACTTCCCCATTTGACAGATTAAGAAACTGAGGCACAGGGTAGTGAAGGTGAACTCATTCTCCCAGAGCCAGCACTCAAACCCTTCACCCAGCACAGCTGTTGAGACCAGCCTCTCCGCTCCCCCTCCTTGCACATTTTCACCCAGAAACGATGCAGGAAAAACGGGTATCTTAAGTCTACTGGCCAGTCTCCTGCCTCCTGTGGGCAGAGCAGACAAACCACAATGCCCACCTTTCCCCTCCTCCATTCTGAGCCATCAGAAGGTGTCCAGAAGAGACAGGGTACTCCTGGGAAGAACCTCAGTTGTTAGCGCAACCATCACAATAGCCATTGTGTGCCCAGGCTGTTACATGCCAGGCTCCACGCCAAGCACTTTACTTACACACTCTCTCTCCCTGGGATTCCCAACAGGCTACAAGAGGGGGACGATTGTCACCCTTTTTACAGATGCAGAAACAGGATGCACAGAGAGGTTATACCACTAGCTTGGGGTCTCACAGATAGGAAGTAGCAGAAGAGAATTAGATTTGGGCTTGGACCCCAGACACCACCTCCTGCTATTCTGTTTCCCATGAAAACCAAGAATCATTCTAAAGGAGCGCCAAGGTAACAGAAGCTGGAGGAAGAATGACAAATTGCCAGGACCCCATGCAGATTGGCCGAAGCCATTCATTACTCATGAGCCCTGGACCAGCTTCCCAGTAAATCAACCCATTCAAGGTTTGATTGTGTTTGGGAGGAAAAAAAAAAAAAAAGTAATTGACTTGTAACACACAGGACACCTTTCAGGGCAGAAAGTGTGCCAGAGATCTGGGCTTTGTGGCCGCAAATCAGCCAAGATGCAAGTTTGCAGCTGCTTCCCAGTGAGGCTCAAGACCACCACAGGCTACAAGCTGAATGCAGCCAGGCTTCCGTGCCTCTCTTTGTCCCGACTGGCAACCTCTTCACCGAGTTCTCAAGTTACCTCAGCGATGAGAAACTGTATTTCTAGGTGTGGACATTGAGGGGGCTTCGGGACAGAGGCAAGAACATTAAGAACTCTACCTCTGGGCTGGACCTATGCTCAGCCAAGCAGCCACCCAGAGAGGCCGCGGAGCTCAAGTTTAAGGCACCAAGTGAGCACCCGGGAGGACATAGGATTCCACAGACACATTGGGAGGGCACACGGGTTCAGCAGAGTAGCTGAGGTTTCCCACAATTGCCCCCCAAAACCATCACCACAGAACACACAGCCCTTCCCAAAAAGGGACATTGCTCCCCTCCACCAATGAGGGTATTAAGCTATGCTCATCACTTTCTTATTTTTTCATTTTTTAAAATTTTTTGAGACGGAACTCTTACTCTGTGGCCCAGGCTGGAGCACAGTGGCACAATCTCGGCTCACTGCAACCTCTGCCTCCCGGGTTCAAGCGATTCTCCTGCCTCAGCCTCCTGAGTAGCT